TTCCAAGCTTGTTTTGCACTTGTGGCACCAATTATCCTTGGAAAAATTGTCTCATCAACTGCTTGTTGAAGAACAAATAAAGCCCTTGAATCCTTCTGCTTGTTTTCTTTCAACTCCTTCTTTTGAGCTGCAGTAAGAGTAGAGGTGTCTTCTGGAATATTGAATCCCTCTTCTATGATATCCCATAAATCTTGAGAGCGGAAGAATGTCTTCATTTTGACACTCCAAAAATCATAATTTTCTCCTTTGAAAATAGGTACTGGAATTGATGATGTTTGATTAGTAGTAGCCATGTGTTGAGAATATATTTGGAAGTAGTAGAATGAGTTATAGTTTTGTTTGAGGTAGTTGAAAATTTTATCTACGCCCAGTAGATGACCGAATGTAGCTCTGGTACCACTGTTAGTATTTTGAAGGTTGTGAAAGGAGTAGTTGATGTGGTAGAGAAAATTTAGAGATAGTAGAATGTAGAAGTAGTAGTTGAAAGAAGTGTTGTAGTTGTCTTTAGTTGTAGTAGATGTTAGCTCATACAAATGGTAGATGTTGGCTTCATACAAAATGATAGATGTTGGCTACATACATCAAATGGTAGAGTTCATGGGTATTTATAGACCCATAGATTATTCTAGAACATACTAGCCACAACTTATGTGGAATGTTCTAGATTTTTACCTATGTAGAATATTCTTGATTTTTTTTTTTCTATCTTAGGTTTTTCTAGAATATTCTAGAACTTGTATTACATTTCAATTCTTCTATTTAAGGAGCTTCTACATTCTTCTAGAATTTGCATTACACACCTTTTTTCCGTTAGTAACGTGACAATGTTTCTGATCATGAAACTACAAAAGGGTCAGCGAACATAAATAAGATACGTCGGAAGAAGGAAGAGCACGAGTGGTCAGTTCAAATAGTGGATGAACTTCTGAAGCGAAGTTGCATGTATGAGTACGCAGACGATGGAAGCCCACCCGTGAATATATTGCAGAATAAAGATCAACGGACAGACCCTTATACTTTTGATGAAGAGGGTAATGTTACTTTGGCGGGTACCACAGAAGTGGAACAACATCTCACCACCAAAGGAGAACCCAAACAACAAAACAATGGTATAACATTATACTGTGTTTAATTCTGCATCAGGAATGAATTTACTTTTTCAATTTTTCACATGAGCCTCTTCCAATGCAGAATCAAATAGGCTGAGAAAGGGATATTTAATCATGATATTTAGATTATTGTTGGTTACTATTATACTATTATTATTATTATAGGTTTACTTTTATGTGCAGGGGAGGAGAAGGTTAACGTCAAAGAAAAGAAGACGTGTGAGACACCAATACTAATAGCTGCAAAGAACGGAGTGACAGAAATGGTAGAGAAAATCATGGAGTCGTTTCCTGTAGCTGTTCATGATATGGATGCGAATAAGAAAAATATAGTGTTATGGGCAGTGGACAACAGGAAAACCTACTTATATGAATTATTGCTGAAGAACAAAAATCTGAAGGAGAGTATATTCGAGAGTGTGGATAACGAAGGAAACAATGCATTGCATTTGGCAGCCAAGCTTGGAGACTATAAACCTTGGCCCTTTCCTGGAGAAGCCCTGCAAATGCATTGGGAAATCAAGTGGTACCTGGTAAGTTTACATATTATTACCCCCGTAAAATGATTTACATTTTCTGGTCACTCGAACTACCTGCTGTCCCACTCATGATGTGATGCAGTTTGTTAAGGAATCGGTGCCATCTCATTGCTTTAATCGATACAACAATAAAAACAAGACACCAAAAGATATCTTCAGCGAGACTCACAGGGACATTCTAAAGAGTGGTGGAGAATGGCTGAAAAAAACCTCTGAATCCTGCTCCTTGGTAGCATCACTGATAGCTGCAGTGTCCTTTTCCACATCCACCACTGTCCCCGGTGACTTCAAAGACGACACCGGCTCCCCAACTCTTGAAAACAGGCCAGAATTTAAAGTCTTTGCCATCGCATCTCTCATTGCTCTTATCTGTTCTGTTACCCAACTGGTGATGTTCCTCTCTATACACACATCTCGGCATCGAGAGCGTGATTTCGGTAAAAGTCTTCCCAGGAAGCTTATCGTGAGTTTTACATCGTTGTTCATCTCCATTACGTCTATGGTGATCTGTTTCTGTGCTGGTCATTTCTTTATCCTAAAGGACAAACTCAAATCAGTTGCATTCCCTTTATATGCCGTTATGTGCTTGCTAGTGACACTTTTTGCCTTGGCCCAGTTTCCTCTCTACATCGATCTCTTATTGTGTACTTTTAAGAAAGTACCAGAGCCTGGATACAAATGGAGGTAAAAAATGCGTCAAAATATCATATACAGAACCTCTCTACATTATAGCAGAGCTAAAATAATGTTAATGCTGCATGTAAATTAATTTTTCATATAAGGAACTTAATATTCACCTTGCATTTATACACTACACAAAAAATGGATATTTCATTGTTTTTTACGTAATCTTAACTGTTTCTTATCCAATTTGATTGAGATTTTTCCGTATTTATTCTGCTAAAGATATTCGGCAGACTTTTTAAATATTTAAAGTAGGGTAAACAAAATATATGCAGGTATTTCATCTTGAATAATCATATGAGTAACAATCTACCTTACACTTTGAATCACTAAATTACCTACTGTCTGTTCACTAGTTTTGGAATGTGTATCAAAATGTCGAAGTGTCAAACCATCAGTCCTTTTCTTCTTGTGGAGATTAAGCAACATCTTCTCTTCAAGTTCATTTTTCCTGTAGTTAATGGCTATGGAGTAGTAATGCCGGTTCAATCCATGGAGCAATGCCTAAAGAGTGGCAAATATAGGTCAATAACAGTTAAGAAAAACAGAACAAGTTCTTCCAAAAGAAAGAAAGAAAAAAAATGATATACACATAAAAAAGTGCTTGGTAACACACTCGAATGGATGGTTTAGTCAGATGTCCCATATTGCATGTTGCAGGCTTTGATCTTGACCACTCAGTCTGTGGATTGATCAATCGAAAAGCATCAATGACCACTTTGCCTTTTACACTTTGTATTGGATCTACAGCCACAGCCACTGCACGCTGATTCAAAGCCTCAAAACTCTAAGAAATAACATAGAAGAACGAGTTACTATCATACTAAACAGCAGCTCCATATTAATAAGAAAAAAACTAACAGTTACTGCAAATACTGGATTTGACTGTAATGGCTGACCTGGCTGGAAATTTCAATTACTTATAATTTAAATTCTAAGTATATAACTGTTGGCAGTTTCATGATACTGTTTTCAATAAGCAAAAGAATGATTTTGCTTCCACCAATAGATTATCCGAATATCATTATTTATTCTTGCATTTTTACCGTTATTTTTACATTAGAAAAATATAAATACTACGTTTTTTTCCTACGCGTTAAAACTTATAAAATAGTAATATAAACTTAATTATTTTTTTTTATTTTATGCAATGTGTGCAATTTTTTTTATTTTATTTTCGGATTTGCTCCCTCCTTCTTCCTTTGCCAAAGATATCCCTGACTACGTATATATGAGGGGTAAAGTTGGTGTCCGTGTAACACGTTTTCCCAAAGTAAATTAATGACTTTACTTAGAGAGGAAACACAGCACCGATACCCACCACAACCATTCACTGCATTCTTAACTTCTTAAAGTAAATTCAATCAAAATTCCAAAACAAAACACATCTCAAGTTTGGCACTTTTTTAGTAGTCAAAAAATGCACAACCACCTATAACACTTCTCCTAAAATATCATTATAATTGTCAATTTTTTTCATTATTTAATTTGCATGAAAATTATGAATATAATCTAAAAAAGCAAGTAAATTAATTCACCTCTCTCTCACTCTCTCCCAGTTTTGTAGTCGAAAGTGATTATCATAACTCCGCCATATTCTGTAGCTTTGGGAGAAAACGAAGGGAAAGTTAGTTGACATTTACACAGATAAAATGATTTATTGTGCCAGTCACTCTCTGTCGGAATAACTTGGTATGAAAGCCAAAAAAGAGAAAAAGAAAAATTAGCAGCCCAGCCCCTACATTACGCGCGCGCACATATATATATAGTTGTATAGTTGTCGCTAAGATAAATAAGAAGTGGTTTAGATTTGAGAAGGTGAGAAAGTATCAATGGGTGATGTGATAATGGCGGAAAAGGGAGATGGTAGAGCGAGTGAGGACATAGAAGAAACAAGCAAGCGGTTGTTCAAACTTTGCATGAACGGTGAGTGGACGGAAGTGGTGGCAACGTACGAGAAGGACAAGAAGGCTCAAACAGCAAAAATAACGAGGACAGGTGACACTGCATTGCATGTCGCCGTCAACGACCGCCAATGCGACATCGTGAAAAAACTGGTGGCGCTTATTCGTGACAAGGAAAAGGGTGAACGTGAGGCACTGAGAATCAAGAACGAGAGAGACAACACGGCCTTGCACTTTGCGGCTTCGATCGGGAGCAGGAAAATGTGTGAGTACATTGCTTCAGATGAGGCTTCGTTGCTGAGTATGCGCAACGTTGATGGCGAGACACCTCTCTTTCTGGCTGCTCTCCATGGCAGAAAAGGAGCTTTCCTTTTCCTTCATTATCGATATACCTCTGACAACACCGACCGCTACAGCTACTGTAGAAGATATGATAGTGACACAGTTCTTCATTCTGCCATTGCCGGAGATTATTTTGGTAAGTCCTTCTAAACTTTCTTTTAATCTAATAAATTGAACTTTCCGATCTGATAATTAATTTTAGCTGATGACTAATTAATTTGACAGATTTGGCATTCCAAATAATTCATTTATACGGTGATCTTGTAAACTTAGTGAACGAGAGTGGGTTAACTCCTCTTCATCTCCTGGCAAACAAGCCTTCTGTTTTCAAGAGTGGTTGCCACTTGGGACGGTTTGAAAGAATTGTTTATAAGGGAAAGATATTAATACCAAATTTAACTTTATACATATATATACGACGTTATTACTGATAATATTAATGTATGTGTTGTTTATTTGGAAGCTATAATCGTGAAGAAACTCACAGAACCAGAACCACACCCTACTGAGGACCAACTTCCAATAACTGAAGAAGAAAATTTCAGTTATCCGAAAAATTTCGAGACATGTATGGATCTTTTGACGGTGGTAAAAGTTGGTATGTAAGAAGTATAAACGAATCCCTTTTTGCCTTAATAAACATCATTTAACAACCACAAGTTCCTACTGTAATCGTGATTTGATTCGTTTGTCATGTATCCAGTGACCACGCCCTTGACACATTTTCTACGTAAAATTTTGCCGCATGGTGGAACAGAAAGAGACCTCGAAGCATCGAAAAAGACTGCTACAAATAATGAAGCGGAAACAAAATCTCCAGGTGCGGACTAAATTGTTTCTAAAATTCTCATACTTTTGCTTTCCACGCATCAAATTTGTACGCAAAAAGAAAAGCTTTATTTTATAAGTAAATTTAAGAAATACAAATTCAGAGATACGAGTTAGCAGAGATTTCATTAACCTCACTATTATTTGTTTAGGGTCTGAAACCAGCGATTGGCAACATCCATTATTTCCCCCCAATTACCAAAGATGTGTAGATTTGTTCAAGATTGTATTTGTGATCATGTCGGTTATCTTTGGAACAGGTATTGTTGGAAAAACTGACATAATCACGAACAAAATTTCCTGAGGCGTGTAGAGTCACTGTCCTTAAGGACTTATCCGCGGTGTATTGCGCAAGTCCCCAGGATACAACAGGAACTTCTCAGAATATCTGAGGATCTCATAACTAGCAAGAAATCTAAAGAGAGTAAGGATAAACCCAGAATAATTTAGAGAGGAAAAGAAGAAAGGAAAAGGAGAAAGACTGACTTGGGATGATTTTGGAATGGGAGAAAAACTCTCTATTTATAGAGTTAGGAAAGAATAAAATCAATAAAAGCCATTAATATTTTGCCGTTGGAGCACTTAATAAAATTAATACGAACGTTTTTGGCAATTAAAGTTTGACCGTTATAATCCAACGTTTTCTTTTGCAATAATCTAATTATTACAACAATCCCCACTTATTGCAAAAGAAAGAAAAAAAACAAGAACTTTTATTCTGGGTCTCATAGGATGAATGCATCAGACCTGGTATAGAAGCTATATGAACAATCTTAGATTGAAATACTTAACACACAGTGTAGTTGGTATAGCAAGCTATATGAACCAAAGACACTTGACGTGTGTTAGAGGTTTATCAATCACAATACACCCCCACAATCCTTGCTTATCGCTGTGTGCGCTAACTAGGCATCACGTGCCCGTATTCATGAGTGCTCCTATAGATCATGGCCAAGATCTCATGCAAGCGCCCCACTCGACACTCATATAGGTGATTTCATCAAGTGTATGCTGGCAAATCATCACCACCCTAAGGGATATGAAAAATCATTAAAAAACTTTGTTTAAGACAAATTCTATCACCGTAATAGAATTATGACAAAGTTTAACCTCTCAATATTGCAGTCTCTAGCACTTTCACACACACCAGGAAGGGACATAATTGATTAAAATCAATTTAGTGCTATCAGAACTAACAGTGACTGTTTTTTACCCATATGAACCTTATTCATGGGATCTCCACTCACAAAGGTTGGTTACCATCACTTGTTTTTTGCAATGGCTTAAGTCTCATTCCCCTCGCTGTTTCTAATATCATTGTCTTCCCAGGGTTTTGTCAGAGGATCGCTAGATCCCGTTCTTCACATAGTCAATGGAAATAGTTCCACTCTTTAGCAGCTGCTTCACCAAATTGTGTCTCTATTCTTTCCATTATAATTCTTGTTTTTAGCTATAGCTATTGCCGATGGACAATCACAGTGTATTGACACAGATGGGTTGGTTTCATTCCTAGTGGGAATGTTTGCTAAAAGTTTTTCAACCACTCATCCTCACTCAACCATCTCCAAGAGCGACAACTCAGATTCCATTTTGTCTTGCAATAATTGTTTGTCTGGATGATCTCAATGTAATCGTCCACCCCCAAGAGTGAATACATAACCACTAGTGATTTTGTCTCAATCTGAATCAGAGATCCAGTTAGCATCACTATACCCTTCTAGTACAGCGGGAAATCCACTATATTCAATGGCATAATCCATTGAACCCTTAAGTATCTCATAAGCCTATCAAGTGCATCCCAATGTTCTGATTTCGACATTGAGTGTACCTACTCAGTCTACCTACTGCATAAGAAATATCAAGTCTAGAAAAGTTCATCAAGTGCAGTAAGCTCCCAATTATCTGGCATACTGAGGCTGAGAATAATGATTCTCCTCTATTTTTTTCATTACTTAGCATTAGCATCATAAGGGTACTCACTGTGAGGTCATAAAACCTAAACTTCTAAGAAGTTTCTCAATATTATTCTTGGGATAGTATATACTATCTTCATTCCTTATGATTCTAATACCTAAACACATTGGCTTCCCCCATGTCTTTCATTTCAAAAGTTTATTAGTTTAACAAGAATCATTCTCATTCTCTATTACATTATTCATTCACCGTTATCTATTCAAAAATATAACATCATGAATAGATTATACTCAAAACAATAATGAGAAAATATATAAATATAATTCAATATTAATTCAAATAATAAATCATTTATTATTTTAATTATCATCTCATTACTTTCCTTTAAACTCTAGTCCTTCCCTTTTAACCAAATTAATTTGTAGTTCCAATTCGATATGGAACCTTTAAGTCCATAGGGTAACCTAAGCACCCAAATTCCTCACGTTGCCCAGTGGCCATCATGGACTCTCACCGCCGTAAGGAAAGGAAGACCCTATGCTAATCAACGCAGACCCCAAAACACCTAGTAAATGCAACAGTCAAACAGAAATAATTACCCCAATCGCGAATCAAAACGCACAAAATAAAGAAAACCCCAAAACTATCAAGAACACGAGATCCAGAAACAGAGATTCACTCTGTTTCCGTCCACGTCACACTCATCCCGTCGTCAGTTCTGGACCAAGGCTTCGCGATTCCCACCGCTACAAGAGCGTCCTCAAATCCGCTGTGGGCGCCCATTGCGGCGCACACTGCTACGGAGAGTGTCGCGCCTGGGTCACCGAGCTTGCCTCTCGTTCCCGCGAAACCCACCAGACCCAAAAAGGAAAGTCTCCCTGATGTGGACAAATCAGAACCAGTAAAAGAAGAAGAGAGTTGCTCTAGAACTAAAGAAAAAATGGGAAAACGGCGCCTCCTGTTGCAAACGAAACAAGCCAAACGATTTGGGAAGAGAGGTTCCCTACAGGTCCAACCAAAAAAAGAACGAAAAAAATCATTTTTCTTCCCGTGAACTCCCTAGAAGGGAAGGAGAGAAACCCCCCACTACTGACGCGACATAAAACCCAACTCAGGGGTCTATGCGTGAAGAGAGAAAATCCCAAATCAATTTGGGGAACTTCGAAATTAGGGTTTTAATTAAAATGATCAAGATTAAAAAAAATCTTCTACGTACATTTTCTCTCAAGGAAAATAAATTCCTTCCAGAATTAAAAACAAAACGTTAATGATATTAAAGTCTTAGATTTTTGTGCTTTCCATTTTATTTAAACCACTTATTATAATCTCACCATTTATTCCATCAATAACGCACCATTATTCAAATGGTCTTTAGAATTCCATGATCCAAAGACTACCAAATTCAGAATAATTCAAATAAAACATCAGCATTAATCGTCGTTTAAGGCATTCAAAATTAAATTAATAACTATAACCATCAACAATTAAAGAAGGTGAATTTTCCATACTTCTAAGAAATTTAAGAATATATTCACATTATTAAAGAAATAGATAACAGTAAGTTTCCCATACCTTTTTACTTTTGATAGTAAATATATTATGTAAGTGGTTTTTGCAATACCTTCGTTTTAGAAACAAGTTTTATCCTCCAAGAATTGATTTGTTAATGTCAGCCTTAAGTCCTTAAGATTGTTGGAAAACTGACATATCACGAACAAATTTCCTGAGGCGTGTAGAGTCACTGTCCTTAGGACTTATCCGCGGTTGTATTGCGCAAGTCCCCGGGATACAACGGAACTTCTCAGAATATCTGAGGATCTCAGAACTAGCAAAAACTCTAAAGAGAGTATAAGGATAAACCCAGAATAATTTTAGAAGAGGAAAAGAAGAAAGGAAAAGGAGAGAAGACTGATTGGATGATTTGGGAATGGGAGAAAAACTCTCTTTTATAGAGTTAGGAAAGAATAAAATCAATAAAAGCCATTAAATATTTTTGCCGGTTGGAGCACTAATAAAATTAATACGAAACGTTGTTGGCAATTAAAGTTTTGACCGTTATAATCCAACGTTTTCTTTTGCATAATCTAACATTATTACAACAGGTATGCCTTCATTTCACGAATATTTAAGCTTAGAGTTGTGTAATTTATTTTTGCATACTCACCATACCTCTTCTAAATTTTGCAAGTTTGAGCTTAACTAGATTCCTGATATATTTTATATACACAGACTTTAATTTGAGTGGAGGCATTTGGGTGACTTTTGGGGAAAAAGACTTTTTACTAACACGATTACTTTTTTTAGTTGAAAATAAAACTAATCAAAATAGGCATTAATGCTTTTGTACCAAAAATCCATTTCTTGGTTTCATTATTTAGATCTTATTCATATTTTGACTTGTCCAGTACATATTCCTCTCAATCTCACTTGGTTTCATTCTTCTAAATTTAATTGTGAGCAGTACTCTTGTCACTCTCATCTTGTTTCTCTCTCCCACATATGTGTGTGTTCAATTGAATATCTTTGTCTCTTATGATTAATATGCAATTTTGATTCTTTGGTTTTATTATAAAGTGAAAATATTTGTTATTATGAAACTACAAAAGGGTCAGCAAACATAAAGAGGATAACTAGAAGGAAGGAAAAACAAGTGTGGTCCGCTCAAATAGTAGATGTTCTTCTGGCAAAAGCTTCCACGTATGAGTATGCTGACGATGGCAGCGTACCCGAGCAAAAATTGGAGAATAAAGATCACCACACAAACCCTTATTGTTTTGATGAGTGGGGTAATGTTACTTGGGACCGTAACACCGAAGACAAGCAACAAAAGAATGGTATAACACTATTTCTGTGCGTTTCGTTCTGCATCAGCTTGTATTTACTTTTTTAATTTTTCACATAATCGACGCGTGTATAAATTAGTGTTGGGTATTATGAGGTTTACTTTTATGTGCAAGGAACGAGAAGATTAACATGGAAGAAAAGGTGCGTGAGACACCGATATTAATAGCTGCAAAGAACGGAGTGACAGAAATGGTAGAGAAAATCATGGAGTCGTTTCCTGTAGCTGTTCATGATATGGATGCGAATAAGAAAAATATAGTGTTATTGGCAGTGGAGAACAGGCAAACCTACTTATATGACTTATTGCTCAAGAAGAAAAATCTGAAGGAGAGTATATTCGGGAGTGTGGATAACGAAGGAAACAGTGCTTTGCATTTGGCAGCCAAGCTTGGAGACTATAAACCTTGGCTCTTTCCTGGCGAAGCCCTGCAAATGCATTGGGAAATCAAGTGGTACCTGGTAAGTTTACATATCATTAGGCTTTTTAACCAGTCAAAATAGATCAAAAACATTAACTTGCTTTTAATTTGTAGACTCATAGGGCACACACTTTTGTGTGATAACAGAGATCAGAATAATGCACAGATAAGGGTGAAATAAAATATCTAAGATGAGAAAGGAGGTTGAGTTAAATTTTAATACTACAAATCGCATTCACTACAAATATAATAATCGAAGGTGCTGTTTACGTAATTAGCTGAAAAGATGGATTAAGAGCGCTGAAAAGAGTTTATTCAATGCTATGGTTGAGATTTATGGTTTTTTAAAAAGGTTTTATTTAAACTTACTTATACAAATTTTATAAATCTATCACCAAAATACGACTTTTTTTTAACTTATTCTAGCAAGTCTCTCAAAGATTAATTAAATTCTTATTACATAAATGCATGCAACTAAAATGTCATTCAATTATTTTACGTAACAAGTCCTCGTCATATTATAGGGTGCTTCAATTTGAATCCAATTATTACCCCTGTAAAATGATTTACATTTTTTAGTCATTGATGATGTGATATAGTTTGTCAAGGAAACGATGCAACCGCATTTCTTTAGACGGTACAACAAAAAAAACAAGACACCAAGAGATATTTTCAGCGAGACTCACAGGGACCTTCTCAAGAGTGGTGGAGAATGGCTAAAAAAACCTCGGAATCCTGTTCCGTGGTAGCAGCACTGATAGCCACGGTGGCATTTTCCACTTCCACCACTGTCCCCGGTGACTTTAAAGATGACATAGGGACCCCAACTCTTGGATACAGACCAGATTTTAAAGTCTTTGCCATCTCATCTCTCATTGCTCTATGCTGTTCTGTCACCTCAACGGTGATTTTCCTCTCAATACTCACATCTCGGTATCAAGAGCGTGATTTCGGTAAAATTCTTCCAGGAAGCTTATCCTGGGTTTGACATCGTTGTTCATGTCCATTACCTCTATAATGGTCTGTTTCTGTGTTGGTCATTTCTTTATCCTAGAGGGCAAACTCAAATCAGTTGCATTCCCTGTCTATGCCGTGACATGCCTGCCGGTGACACTTTTTGCCTTGGCTCAATTTCCACTCTACATCGATCTCATATTGGCTACTTTAAAGAAAGTGCCACAACGTGGCTACAAAACCCCTCTACAATAGTTGTACGACCAGCATTATAGCAGAGCTAAAATAATACTGCATGTAATCGCATTGTCGATATGTGGAGCTTAATACAGACCTTGCATTTATAGACTACACAAATAAAATTGATATTTCAATATATGTTTGCGTAATGTTAATTGTTTCTTATGGTATTTTAAAACATAATTGAAATTTTTGTTTTGACACACAATTTTATAGAAGATAAATCCGGCAATAAACATTAAAGGATACCCAGTAAGTAATACTTAGGGAGACACCCACACAAACTACGTGCTGAGTTTTACTTTCTTGACCTTTTCAGCTCGTCCAAAGAATATATCTGTCTAGTGTCTTCAAATATAGTTTGAGAAGAATTAGGACACAGGAATTTTAACAACTCAATTTGCATCCTTACCATGCTAGAGAAACCAGAAGGTCCAAAATAACAACTCTAGAAGACAACAGTATCAAGCATCATTCCGAGAGTTTGAACGATGTTGGAAGACATCAAATTTGAGACGTGCTCTTCAAGGTGCTTCTTTGCATCCTGTCTTCCCACATTAGCTATTGCAAGCTTTTCTGGAGGCAGCTCATCTTCCTCTTGAACAGCCTTGTTATATTTGATAGCTAAGATCAGCATTTCCTGCACGCAATTTAATTTGTTATCAGTATTTATTCTGCTAAAGATATTAAGCAGATTTGTAAATCTTAAAAATAGGACAAACAGAATATATGCAGGGATTTTATTATGAGTAATCAGATGAGTACCAATCTACCTTACAGTTTAAAACATTAAATTACCTGTACAGTCTGTTCATTAGTTTTGGAATGTGTATCAAAATGTCTAAGTGTCAAACCATCTGTCCATTTCTTCTTATGGAGATTAAGCAACATCTTCTCTTCAAGTTCATTTTTCCTGTAGTTAATGGCTATGGAGTAGTAATGCCGGTTCAACCCATGGATCAATGCCTAAATAGTGGCAATAAAGATAGGTCAGTAACAGTTAAAAAAAAAGCAGAACAAGTGCTTCCAAAAGAAAGAAAATACACATAACAAAAGTGCTTTGGTAACACACTTGAATGGATGGTTTATTCAGATGTCCCAGATTGGATGTTGTCTGCCTTGGTTCTTGACCAAGCATCATAGTCTGTGGATTGATCAATCGAAAAGCATCAATCACCACTTTGCCTTTAACACTTTGTATTGGATCTACAACCACAGCCACTGCACGCTGATTCAAAGCCTCAAAACTCTGTATAAAATAACATAGAAGAGCAAGTTACTCATACTAATCAGCAGCACCATACTAAAGAACAAAAAAATAATGGCTACTGCTAATACTGTAATGGCTGGCCTGGCTGGAAATTTCAACTACTTACGACTTAAATTTAAGTAGACAACAGTTGGCACTTGGAAATGCATATCATGACACTGTTTTCAATAAGCAAAAAAAATTGTTTGCTTCCACTGATAGCTTATGAAACCTTTTATATGAAATCAAAGCAAACTTCATACTAACAAACAAAAGTTGGTTTTTAACGAACATCAAAATCAAATGATGTTTTATTAACGAATCCCAGATCTCTTGAAAATAAGAGTAATAGCAATATCAACCCTGAAAACATATCTAAGTAGAAATTTTGGTTCATCATTTAAATGTTATATAATTCACTCCGCGAAGTATTCAAACTCATTTTATAGTACTCTTTCTGCTATGCTAACCCAGAGAATAGTTCATATGTCATCATCTTCTAAGAGAAACTAGGCATCAACTTAATTAATCAAACCAGCAAACATCAAAGCCACATTAGCAATTTTAATAAGATTGATAATTAGGTAAATATCATAGTAGCCATAATTCGAGGGTTAGTAAAGTGACTTAACCAAGTTGGAGCGTATGGTATGTTGTTCTCTTCACTATTGGACATTCAATGCAATTCTTGAATTCTTCTTAAGAATTCAAGAATTTTGAACAAAAAGGTAGGATTGTAGGGAACAAAAAAAACAACAACAACGTGAAATGTATTTAAACCACGGGATCCACTTAAACCTTGCGATCCTCCACAAAAGTACAGCATCCTAGTCTAGTCCATGTTTGAAAAACTAGAAAAAATCATTAAAATCGAAGCATACTAAAATCATCCACCACACAGATCCTTTGAATTGAAAGGTAGATGCAAAAACAATATAAGGAAATAAAAGAACCAACCAAAGAACATATTCAAGAAAGAAATGGAGCTGAACCTGTTGCGTATTTATGTCAACACCAGAGAGCCAACAGCCAAAACCAGGATGCGAATGGTACCAGCCGACAACCATCTCTGGTCTGCAACACAAAAAACCACCACCAGTGAATTCATAAACCAAACCCAACAGAAGTATTACAAAAATAAAATAAAATAAACTACCGTCCAGTTTGCTTGAGCATATCAAGCATATTAGTCTGAAAAACATGATCAACGGCTTCAACACTAACACCAGTGCCACTCTGCGGCATTGCGAAGACATCAACGACACGAACGGTGTACTCGTCCACGAACTCTCCCAGCATCAAACCCATCACCTCCATGGGAACCCCGGCCCTCCCTGTAATTACAAAAACACGAAAACCCTAATTTTGAAATCGGGCATCCCTTGACTTGATTGGTTAAAAAGCAAACTTTACAGCTTTACCTACCGTGCTTGAGCATTTTGAGGAGCGCGAGAGAGGAGATGTAGACCTGCTCGGAGGAATCGAGAGTTGGGGAATCTGGGGGAGGGTGACCTAGCGCTCCACCTGCACCCGCGAACATTCGCTGAAGCCTCTCCATCGCGAATCTCACTTCCAAATTTTGATTCGATTTGAGTTTTGAATTCACTGAATTCGCTTGACTGAGAACTTGAACCAATGAACTAAAGAACGGTGATTGAACTATTTCAATGTTTTCTCAAGAAAAAACAATTTTTTTCTTGAAATATTTCAATGACGAATATAATGCATTAATTTTATCTATATAGACTTAAATTTATTTTTTTCACGGTTTTCTCATCTAGTAAAAAACAATTTAAGCGATGTGATTCGTCGTGAAAATCTCAAATTGTTTTTTTTATATCAATTAATTTGGTTCTGTTTTAAAAATTTTAATGTAACAACATCATTTTTGTTTACAGAAGAGTCACGTCGGATTTTTTAATTTTTTTAAAATTTGTTATTTATTATAATATAAGAAAAAAATACCTGAAATTTTATTTTAATATCTATTCTATTTTGTTATAATTGTCTTAAAAAGTTATATTTTTAGTTATTTGATATTTTAATTTTTTTTATATTTATTTTATTGTCATATTTATATAGAAATTATTTTATTTTTTAATTTATTTATTTTATGTAATAACCTTAACAAAATATAATAAATAAATAAAACTTAAAAACAGTTTCTGAAGACATTTTCAGAAACTTACATTTCATTTTCTCTCCTTCAAACATCTCTATAACATTGTCCTCTCCAAAACACATTCTTCTCTCTAGATTTCCCCTCCATTAAGTCACTGGAAAACCATTCCGCAGACGTCTAGGCGATCTTTGCATCAAGGGCTCCAATTTTCACCGATTGCATTTGCGATTTCGTAGGATAAGTAACTTTCCCCTTTTTGAACTGTGATCATGTAGCAAATTTTGCTGCATGTAGTTCACTTGTGATTTTCCCCAAAATCTTAACCCTAAGCTTATTTTAGAGACTAATTTCTATCACCATTTGGTGAAATATAGGTGCTGTCAATTTTTCTAGAGTGCCTTTGGTTTTCCTCTTGAGTTTAAGTGTTGGAAATTTAAGGTAAGGGGAGCTAGTTCTTCTTTTTCGATTTAGTTGTATGACGTGAATGCATGATGATTTTCAAATTGGTATGTTGTTGGAAGCATAATTTTGATTTTTGCTAACTTGAAATGCATGTATGGAAGTGTGAGTGTTATGTGAATTTGGTGATTGATGGATATGAACTGTTTGGGATGATTTTGAGTGATGAATTATGTATGTTGGAACTGCTTTGGTGTGGAAAATTTGTTGTGGTGTTGATAGGAAGGAAAATCAAGTGTCTTAGGGTCACTTTTTGGTCATTTTAGAGGAAGTGAGGTAGTGATTTTGAGCAAATGAGGTTTGTCATGTTTTTGGACTGTGGGGACAGTTTCACCCACTGTATTGTGACTTGTTTGAGTCACTAAATTGGTCAAGATAGGTGCAAAGTGGTAAGATTGGGTTTTGGGTCCCTAAGTTGGGTAAATTGGTGTTTTAGAGTTAGAAAGGAAGTGTGGTGGTCAAATTTAGAGTTAGGCATTCTTGGTGATCCTAGTCAGTTTAGATAACTTAGGTAGGTCATGTGTGACTTAGTAGGCATGTTTAAATGGTTAAAAATCAACTCCAAGTTGTAGAATTGAATTTAAACCTCTAGGTTGATAAAATTGAAGTTGTAGAACCTAAATCAATGCATAAACACTTTATAATAATGTTAGAAAGGATTAGAATTGTTTAGGTAAGTTTATTTTAGCATGAAAGTTGACTTATGGGTTGTAGAAGTTCACCAAAAGGATTAGAATTGGTAAAAGGGGGTAGAATTGCTCAATTATGCAGAAAAATCTGCATAATTCTCGCTTA